GCAAAATTAAATTGTAAAATATTTAGAAAATCGATGTGTTTGTTGTCAAAATTTGTTTGGATTGAATAAAAATGATATGAAATTGTTTAATTTGTCAAATGCAACTTTATTAAAAAGAATTAAACTATCAATAAATTAAAGAGTTATGTTAAATTGCCTCTGGTTACATTTGGTCATTTTAATGTCTAACAATAAATGGTTTTTATTAGATATTACTAATAATAATATTGTTTATTTTATTATACCATTTAAAACGGCATTTACTTGTTATCTTAGTAAATAAATAACATCAAACATTCATTAAAATTATTTTTTAATTTAACTTTTAATTGCGGTATAAAGTAGTGAATTTTTCAAAATATTTTTTAATTTATCTACTCAATTGAAAGTAAAATCGGTAACTAAGCTTCACTTCAAACTGTTAAATTTGAAATGACGTTTGCAATGGAAATAGTACATTAGAAGCGAGGTGGTAAATATGGCATTACCCCGAGTGCTTATGTATACGATCGAGAGACGCCAGCCTCGAGATTGGATAAAGCACAAGGGGTAATGCCATTACCACCGAGGTTTGTATGCTATTTTATTCACAATCACATTATTTTCAGTCAAAAATTTGGGTAAAATAAAATTCTAACAAAGTTAAGGTCCAAACGTGGTAGGCCATCCAAATGACGTTTGATTTTTGACATTTCAGAAATGTCAAAGAAAATATTGAAATAATGTGTAAATCGATTTAAAGTCGTCGAAATGGAGCAATGTACTCCCCTAGAATTAAGAGAAACTGCTACAAAAGCAATTGAATACTAATTTAGTGAAATATTATGCGGAACTTGACAATTTGAAAGAAAAAATTTCCGGTATTTTTGTAATTTTAAGGTTGGCTATCGTGCATATTACCGCCCAAGAGAAGCATTATTATTACTCCTCATGAGATTTAGTGATGTGTTTCCTATCCTTTAAAAGGTTAGTAATCGGCATATTACATTAGTGATTGTGAATAAAAATTTATTGTTGTGGTTTATGAGTTCAGCCTCTAAGGGTTCGGGCGGTTTATTAGGAGGACAATCTTTTCTACGCTGATTCTACATGGTGTCCCAGCTAGTTGAAAAAGTCCATTAGTGACCTTGAAATGGTAAAAATTAAAAAAATGTATAGGACATTGATAGATACTAATCTAGTGCATCACCTAAAATTATTTTCAACCATACAGCATGTCTCAAAAATAAGTGTTTTTTTAAAAGAAACACCAGATGTTTCTTAGCGTTTTATGACAATGTTTTTAAACTAAACTTTTATTGGTCGATTTTGCTTAGTTTTAAAAACAAGTTAGTTTTTTTGACGAAAACATGCACTTTTTAAAAATTTATTACACAAAAACTAAGACATCTAGAAATATTTTTTTTACTACCGCAAAGAAGAAGGTACAAGCTATAAGGTTGTAACATTTTTTCAGTGTGTTGGATTTGCAAAGATAAAAAAATGAAGTCGTTTGTTAAAAGTTCAATAACTTAAAAATTTTTAATGGAACACCCTATTTGTTGTTTTTGCATTTAAAAGATTATTAAATTATATTTTTAAAATTATTTACTTTTAGAAGTTTATAATCAATAACTAAAAAGATATTTACCGTTAAACATTAAAAAAAATAATTACTATTGTTTCAGTAGCCAAAAAGTGCACAGTTGCACAATAAGAGATGGAAGAAATATCACTTAATAATCACATTTGTGTTAAACTAAATCCATTATTCTTTATTTTTGCAATAAAATAATTCAAATTTCAGTATTTATAACGACTTTTACAATCTCCGGATAAATCAACGGATAAGTGGTTGCCATAGTATCAACAATGCTCAAATATTGATAGGCTTTGTTGCTACAATGAATATTAAATGTTAAATATCTTTTTATTTATCAATTCTAGACATTAAAAGTTATTTTTTTAGATTGATAATTTATCAATCTATTAGATGCAAAAATAAAAAATAGGGTGTTCTATTTAAATTTTTTAAGTTATTAACCTTTTAACAAACTTCTTAATTTACTAATCTTTACAAATGGTATTTAAAGTAAACAAAATAAGTAAATTAATTAATGACACTATATTTGATGTTTTTCTAATTTGTTACACGTAATTTCTTATTAACAATTTGAAAAAATATTGTCAATATTTTCTTTCATTTGTTGTTTTTTGAATTAGAATAATGGGATTTATTTAACACCATGTAACCAGATTTTATTAGCTTCCATTTTTTACAATGATATTTTTTTAAACAATAATTTCTAGTAAAAGTGAAGGATATTGCACATGTCTATACCAAGAAAACTCATCGTTCAAAATGATGAAGAAAAAAATTCCAATATAATGTTAGAAAGTTAAATGGAGTCCAAAATATACTAAGGGCCAGTTTCATAATCGAATTAAAGGGATTTTAAAGATAATGTTGGTTTAGAATGTGAAATTTTTGTCAACAAGGCCCATAGTAATCAACACATTCTAAAAAACATTTAATTTAATACTTCTTTAACTTCAATTATGAAATTAGCATTAAAACATTTAGAAAAATTCTAATATTGTGAGCTTATACTACATAATAAATAAATAAATAAATAAATAAGAAATGTATAATAAATATGTAATAAGTACAACTTTATGATTCTTGCGCCTAATGTAGGCACCCAAATATACAAAAGTCACAAAATGCTAGATACAAAAAATACAAATTTAATTATTTAACTTTTGGAAACCCATGACAGTAGTTGCCAAACTAATCACTGTTTCATTAATAGTCATAAACTGCAGTTTTTCAGAAACAATTATTATTTGTTCTATCAAGAGACGGCCCATGAATATGATTCTACTTTATCTATTTTAATCACTAACTAACTTAAAATGTTGTAATTTTTTAAAGGGTGAACAAACTAAAAAAAAAATCCAATTTTTCAAAATTTGTCGAGTTCGTATTAGAATATGTAATATTAATTGCATCTTATAGGTGCAGATCTCGTAAAATTATGTGAAACATAATAAATGCCATTTAATTTATTTTTTTAATTTTTGAAATCAGCCCATAAATAATATCGTGCCTGACGTTTTTTAAAAACCACCTGTACCTATTTTAATTTCATTTTATTTTAGTTTAGACTGTTTACCAGCGATTTTAAGTTTTTTTATTTGGATTATATTTGTTCGAATTTTTGTTTTAGTTCGTTTTTGTTTTTAAATCGTTATATTATGGAAATTTTGGTTTTTGTTTAATAAAACTGACTAACAAACCTCAATGGAGCAAACGTGGGGGAACATCTCCTGCAAGACGTCGATTTCGTCCAAGAAATCGCAGCAGGAGCTATCCGTGGAGCCCCCATCGCTCATTTCCGACAGCCTGTGTACTCTTTTGGGCAAATCAAAGCTGTCTCTGTTGTCCAACTGTCTCGGTTTCGTCTTGGGAACGATTTCCGGTAGGGAAATCTCAATCACGGACTTCTCTTCCGGTTCCTCCACCCTCAATTTCGCCGCCAACTCGAATATCCACTGACAGACAGTCGCGTGATTGATCGATTCAAATTCGGGGAAGTACGCCGACATCATTTCGCAGAAATCTGCACTTTTCGGATTAAAAAAAAATAATAAAAATTGGGAATTCACCTTCGACGCTGAAGACAGGGTCCGAGCTGACGTCCTCAAGGATTGCAACAACATAAGACAGGACGATATCGTCGATGAGAGACAAGTCGGCGTTAGTTATGTGTGTCTTGACGAACTCGAAGAGGGAGTCTTTGATGGTGATTTCTTGGTCGGCGATGGCTTTTTGGGACATTTTTCACTGGAAATGAGTGGAGTTCGCCCCGGAATCAGGGAAAAAAGGGCTGATTTTGGGGGAGGTAAGTTTTGGGTTAAAGTGACGATCCGAAGGCTGATTTGGGAGGTTATCAATGAAACTTGACTTTTTGTACCTGGAACGTAGAGCTGGAGGTCCCACTTTTACTCGTTTTCCGAAAAAATCGGATATTTTTGATTTACTCAAATTAATCAATAACACAACAAAAGTGACGGAGTAGGGGGCACCACCGAACGACAAATGTCAAACACCAAGAAACCTTAAGCTTATTTGCGTATTGGATATAATGGGCATTTGCAATAACGTTGCCAACCTTTAGTTATTTCCACTAGATCCCATAGAAATATCAAATTGCTAAGAGCCGGTTAAAGGAACAATAAAAGCTAAGATTTTCTTTTATTTGGATTTTCAAAACAATTTTCAATATTTTTTGTAGTAACAAAGTGGAAACATTACAAATCGCCTTATTTTGGTAGAAAACAACCAAAAAAATCTCTTTCTCAAACCGGCTCTCTACAATTGGATATTTCTGTGGGATCTGGGGAAAATAACCAAAGGTGGTGCTTTTTCGGACTTAATCCTTTACCAAATCGCCCCAAATAGGGGCACTTCAAATTTTGTTTATTCTCACGCATTTCTCGCTTAACTTTTTAATGGGTGGTTTAATGGTTTTAAATACTTGCGCATTTGGTCCTATAATCTCGAGGATCCCTTAAACACTCCCATTTTTTTCATTGTTTGATTATAGATTACAACATTAAACTAATATTGTCTTTATTTTATTAAGTAAAAAGCCTTGAATGATTTTTTTTCTCAAAGTTAAACAGGTGTGACGGGTGGCCACCTGTCATACATTTCCGTACTTCCCCTTGCGCCACTCAAATCATCACAAAAATCAAATTAATTATTTTTCACCATTATAATAACACGTTTCCGTTTAATTAAATACTGAAATTAAAGTAAACTTCCGTGTTTTTTTTTCACATTACGTGATATAAATAGGCGACAAAATTGCCGATTTAGTCATAAAAATGTTGCGTTTCGTGTCATTCTTGTGTCTTTTCCTCCTAGTGCAGGTAACGGTTTGTTTTCAAGTCTCGTTGTGGGTAATTTGTGTTTCTAGGGTGAGGTTTTGGAGATGTTCAATCCGTCAAGTTTGCAAAACTGTATGAAAAAACTGAGCATCGGTGAAGATGAATGGGCCCAAGTGTTACAAGACAAGCCCGAAGTTCCGCCCGAGAAGATATTGTGTCTTTTCAAGTGTGCTATGGAAGATGATGGGCTTCTCAAAGATGGCGTTTTGGACAAAAGCAAATGGCCGATGCCCGATTGTGTGCAAAATGTCGGCACAATATCCAACTGCACTGATATGGTCGCATTTAAAGATTGTTTTAATTAGGATTGATGAAAAAACGTGATAAACACTTATAACTTTTATTAATCTTGTACTTATTGTCAGAACATTACGTTTAATAAGGACACAGAATTGACTCGTTCCTTAGACCTACAACAAACATTTACAAAGAAAAATAACAGACAACCTTCTTACTTCAATTAAATTTATTCAATCACACCAAACTAAACAATTTAAAAAATACTCAAAGGCAGATTTAGGACATTGAAAACAAGAAAAACTATCATCACAGGCTATAAAAATGATACAAATTTTTCAACAAACTAATAAATTACTAAGATTCACCGTCATTTATCTTCCTTCCACTCGACGCCTCCTTCCAAATAAAATTTTTGAAACGATTTTAATCACAAGCACGCCGACAAACACCCGGTATTTTTTTGGTTAATTTTATTTTTTAAAACACACTGAACATCTGTACATAATTTCATAAATCTAACTAAATTTATTAATTACTAAGCGCTAAAAAACTCCGGATCTGTGTGAAACTTTCGCCCTCATCGAGCTTGTTACTCTTAAACTATTGTCCTTAATAAAATCAGACTTTTGCTTATACCTATGGACGAAATTCTTCCACACAGAAGCGACTTTTTATCCGGTGGACTGTCTTTTGAATTTTTTTGCAACTACTTATCTAACTCAGACCCCTGGGAGGCTCGATAAAAAAGTACTCCAATTCGTATCTCCTACAACGAATCCCCAAAACATTTTTTTCAGGCAAACTTGGCAACCCTGACTTACATTTAAACCGGGGTGTAGTCTCCCTTTGGTGTATACCACCACTGCCCAGTCACCGCACGCCTCATAATCTCACTTCCAAGAAGCCTCTTCTCCTTCTTAATTTTCTGCAAAACGCCCTTATTCTCGTGGGCTCTCCGCGACAAATAGGGCAAAACTTCGTTTACGGGACCATATGGTATGTACTTGTAAGCAGAATACCCGGATTGACCTTGAAAAATAAAATTTTAAAATGGCGACTTTCCTACCGACTGCACCAATTCACCTAAAGGAAACGTGATATAATCACACATGGCCAGTAATTGACCGAAACAGATCACTTTATCTTCAGGTTCAATTCCGAATTCTTTCATTTTTTCAATGGCAAAACGTACAGTATCTTCGTTGTGCGATGCCACCATAATGGCGATCTTCTTTTCTTCTCCTAAATCTTTGAATGCTTTGATTCGTCGCAGACATTCAGTGAGGGTTTTGTGGTACATCTCGGACGTAGCCTCGAAATTGGGGTTGGTGGGGTCGGGGTAGCCCAAGGCGGCGGCGCGGGCCCTTTCCTATATTGGGGTAAAAACAGAAAATTGACTCAACAAATGACCAATTTCATCACTTCAAAACAAAAACCCAAACACAGCGAGTTGATTAGTGACCTCTAAATGGTAAAATTTCAAAAAAAAATTATAGGACATTGATAGATACTAATCTAGTGTATCACCTAAAATTATTTTCAACCATACAGCATGTCCCAAAACTAAGATACAAACTTGTGTTTTTTTAAATAAAACACCGCCGTGTTTCTTGGCATTTTTGGATGTAGCCTTTTAAAGCAATGTTTTTAAGCTAAACTTTTATTAGTCGATTTCGCTTATTTTTAGAAATAAGACGTTTTTTTTTGACGAAAACATGCACTTTTTAAAAAATTATTACACAAAAACAA